CCCAACCCACCCCCACCTCTTCCTCGCCCAAGCCGTTTGCCGGAATGCTGGACGACGTGTCGGGGACAGGGCCCGCGCGGAGCGCAGCTGTGGCCGAGTGCGGTGTAGCACGCCAACGGCCCCGTTCGTCACCTCGCCGATACGGTGTAAATCACCCACATGGCTTTCCGTCGTTTACCAAGAGCGACTACACGAACTTTCGAGAGAGTACGCTAAACTCCATTTTAGTGAAAAAATCGGAAAAATGCTGAGCACAGACAAAAGAAAAATCCAAAGGGATGTTTCCTTAGTTAAAGCTTCTGGCCGGCTGCTACAGAGTCCACAGCAGCCGCGCATTGTCCACCACAACAACACCGAGGCTGAATGCGAAAGTGGCCGCTCTGGTAGCGCCCATGTGGGCGGGAGCTGCCCTCAGGGGGGGGGGGGGGGGGTCACTCTCGCTGCCCGTCCCGCGTGTCCCTGGAGCCCCCTCAGGGGCCCCCGCAGGGGGGTCACCGGCGGGGTCGCGGGTGCCGTGTACCTCCTGGCCGTCACCACGCGAGCGGGGTCGCCTTTCGCTACCACGCACGCACAGACTTAGAGCAGCCTCCCCCCACCCCTCCTCCTTTCTCCAAAATGGGCGAGACAGCGCAAACTTAAAAGACAACCTTCACTTTTGAAAAAGTCTTTATTTTGTTTTGTTTTTTAAAGATTGTGTTGTTGTTTTTTTTTTAACTTGTGTTTTGCAACAACAAAAAATAGTATTCATATTTAAAAAAAATTAAAACGCGCGGTTTTTTGAAGGGCTGATAATGCCCCGACAAAACGAGGGCGGCGCGCGCACGAACAAAAATGAAAGCACATGACGGAGCACTCCGGCGTGCCGGAGATCCACACGTGATTAAAGAATGGGAAACAGGAGTAATCTCTCTGTATCGCATTGCGAACACACGAACAGCGGCGGGGCGGTGCGGTGCGGTGCGGGGCGGGGCGGAGCGCGTCCACACTCGGCGCGTCCCACACCGGCCGGTTTTCTCTCTCTCTCTCTCTCTCTCTCTCTCCCCGCCCGTCCCATCCGCACTACTCTCATGGCCCGCGACGTTCCGATCGCGTATATGGGACGCAAGGAAAGTGTCCCCATCCCATAGAAATTGATAAGGCGGAGGCTGGCCGGGGCGGGTAGGGGCGGGGCGGGGCCCCCACATCCGGAACCATTCCAATTCCACTCATACACCGCTGCAGCTCTCAACGCACCGACGACACACTGATAAATCAATTTATTTATTTTTTGTCCAGTCAGAGGGAAGTGGGAAGTGGCTCAGTCATACCTTACTCACCAGGAGAATGTTTAATTTTAAGGCCACTATGCAATATTTGAATTTAAAAAAAAACTAACCTTGTTTTAAAATAACTATTTTCTATCTGATTACTGTAATGTGTTTGTTTCCACGTACCCACAGCCTGCAGTGGTGACATCTTCACTTTCTATAGACGCACCCTAAAAAAATCTCTTGAAACTCAAAAGGCTAATATCACCTAAAAAGACAAAATTTTCTGACCTTCTCCTTCGTCTGCACTTTCACAGGAAGGAAGAGGCTTTCGACCCATCGGCACCTTCCTTGTTGGAATCCCTGCCTCCGAGCGTCCCACACAACTGCCGCATCCTAGAGACGAACTTCGACGACGACCATTAAAGTCGATAAGATGGGTTAAAGAACAAGAAAAATAAAACGTGGATATCTATCTACTTTCTATGACTCCGCTCAACGAAGAAAAAAAGTAAACAAAAAAAGCGACGTCGTTGGGGTTATTAGAACACCTCATACCACCAGCCCTCTCTCGAACACACAGTGCACTCGTCCCGTTAACATATGCTTTCAGGTGTCGGAACCATAACTCGTCAAGGGCGCCATGAGATGTAAGCGAGGGGGAGGGCCCACGGGCCGGCGGGGTGACAGCGGAATGCTACACGTGTTCTACTCTCCTCTCTCTCTGTGTGTGTGTGTGTGTGTGTGTGTGTGTGTGTGTGTGTGTGTGTGTGTGTGTGTCGCACAGCCTGTCGCCGCGCCCCGTTGTGTCCGATGGCACTCGAACAGACCGGGAGGCGCACAACAACATCCTCCTCCTCGTCGTCGAGCATTCGCGGTCCTGCTCCGCGCGCGGCACGTCGGATACACATATCGAACTCGACCTCGAAAATAACCAGAGCAATCGTCCGCGACACTCGCTCGCGCACTCGCGATAGGCGCGCACCGCGGGGCGGACATGCACCGTGAAATGCTCCCTCTCTCTCGTACCCGTACCGCCAGCCCGCCTGTCTGTCACGGGTTCGACTCCCCGCCGCTTCACATCGTTAATTTCTTTCTCTCGCGCATGTTGCTACGGTTTTTTTCTCAGATTAATTTTTTTTTTAGCTTTCGTGCGCGGGCGGCTCATCCCCGTGCATCCCGACTCATTGGTCGTGGGTTCTACTACCAACTGGTGCACCGCCTTTTTTTTCTGTTTTTTGTTTTTTGTTTTTTTTGTTTGTTTGTTTTTTGCATTTCCACCGCGCTCTTTAGACTCTGCTTTCGCATCCGTGCAACCCTATACGAGCATGGTACAGCTGCAGGAAAAGCCCACTGATCTGTGGAAAACGTCCCATCGACTACGGCGAACGCGCCATCCACTCCTGAAAAAGCGCGCCGCCGCCAGGCTTTGCCGGTTTCGCGGCGCGCATCCCGTAGCGCCTGCAAAGTTGAGGGTAGGCAACCCCGGCATACACCTGTGTCTGACGGGCCCGGCCACCCGCCGCCCTCGCAGGGGCCCGGCGGTAAACATACGGTCACGTAGTTTCAAGCTGTGTGAGAACTGATAGCAACAGAGTACTGCACCGTACATAAAATACTGCATGTGCGCCTATTACAAAAACTCCAACCAAAAAATACTTTTGAAAAACCGTAATAGCTAAGCATAAATCCCAGAGCATGTCATGCTCCGAAAATCTTCTTGCATGCACTTCACAGGGTGCCAAGAGCAAATAAATTTGTCGTAAAAATAGTTTTTTCCGAAAGGTCTCGTATGGAAAGGCTTTCCCCGATGTCGGCGCGGCTAGGCAGCGGGGCGATATTCGCTGCTAGTACGCACACTCCTACGGGCCGGGCCACGGCGCGGCTACACGCTACACGGTAGGCAAGTGACAGAACGGGGTCAGCTCGCTACTCCCCTCTCTCTCTCCGTTTACTTGTTTCAGGAGAAGAGAGCGAGAGAGAAGGGGGGGGGGGCAGAGAGAGGAGGGGAGAGACGTCCTTCCTGTGCATCATGCTTTGTTGAAAACATTTATCATTTGGCCGGCTGGGACCTGTACTGCAAAGCCTTACACCGGCCTGCCGCCGGCCCGACCAGGCTCCGCGTCTCACCCCTTTCCCCTTCACCATCCGTCAGCTGAGAGATGTACACACTGACAAAAACACAGTAGTCGGATAAGGTAGTACTTTAAAT